GCAATGTCCCCTGGCCTTTCCCAGCTTCTGAAGGGTGTTTGTATTCCTTGGCCTGTGACCCCTTCCTCATATCACTCCAACCCTCTTGGTTCTGTCGACACAGCTTCTTTCCTCTCTGACCTCCTCCCTCCCTCCCATACCGATCCCTGTGATTACATTGGATCCATCCAGATATTCCAGTATAATCTCCCATCTCCAGATCCTAAACTTAAGTGCACTTGTCAAGCCCCTTGGGACGTACAGAGTAGCACTCACAGGTTCCAGGGCTTAGGACCTGACATCCTTGGGTGCTGTTATGTAGCTCACCACACTGCCCAAGAACACTATGCATGCTAGGCACTCCCTGAGACCTGGGAAAAAAGAGATGCAAAGAACAGTTTCTATCCTAGAGTCAGGAAGCTGGACTGGAATGATTTCCATGGGCTCCTGAGTAATCATAATGAAGTATTCTTTATTTCCGTGATGCCACAGTTTCCCCTGGAATACTCTGTGTCACTGCCTGAGAGGTGATCTAAGAACCAATGTTGTTCATTAAAGGCATGAGGTCAAAGGGCAAATGTTTCCCAGCGCCCCATCCTAAGTGGGTCATTTAGCCAGAATTCACTACATGCTATATAGTCTGTACCAGGGGCAGTGATGGCTTAGTAAAGGCAGCTGGAAAAAAAAGTGCAGGCTGAATGAGAGGGCATATGTTACCCCCAGTCTGGGAGGAGAGATGTTCTCAACACAAGCTCTTCAGTCTAGTGACACACTGTGGAGCAACCACCTTTCTGTGGTAGAGGGGACAAGAGAGGGCCGAGGGTAACAACGGGGAGAGAGAGAGCAAGAAGCAGATGAGGCATCAAGAAAAGGGAGAGGAAAAGTGCAAACTGGAAGAGAGGAGAAACAGCTCAGGCTGGAGAAGCGAACCTGATAAAACACCAAATGGCACAGGGACCACGTGTGAGCAGCAGGAGCTCCGGCAGTGAGAGGAGCTGTCCTCCCGCCCCTGCTGCCGGGACCCACAGGCATTTGTATCCATTACCACTCCATCTGTTTTCATGATTAATTGCCTTGAAGAAGCACTTATCCTCAGCGGAAAAATATCGAAATATTAAAAAATTGCTTCTAGAAATGGTCAAAATGACTCCTTGTCAAACTCACTCTAAATTCGGAAGGAAAACAGGGCCAACCACGTGCCACTAAGAGAGAACGTAGACCCGAAACTCAGCTTCTGCCTCCCTGGAGATTCTTGATGCCCGGGGATCCCCTGAAAGCACCCAGTGTGGGGAGATTCACAATGTGAATCAGAACAGCAACGACAACGAAAACAGTAACAGTAACCAACATTTGCTGAGCACTTAATATGTGCCATGGACTTCATTCCATCATGAAAATAACACTGAGAGGTAAGGTCTGGACATTCTTGTTTTATGAAAAAGAATCAGAGGTACGGAGACCTCTCAGTTCTCATGGGGGAAAAAAGTATCTAAATTAGAATATATCCACTCCTCCTCCAAAACCCACCCACGCACAGCAGTTTAAAATCCATAGAAACAGAAGCAGATTGGTGGTTTCCAGGGAGTGGGGGAGAGCAAAACAGGGAGTAACTCCCTAAGGGGCATAGGGTTTCCTTTCAGGGTGATGGGGTTTGGGGGGAGTGAGTAGGTAGAGGTGGTGGCTGCCCATTTAAAATGTACTAAATGCCATTCAGTTGTTCAACATGTGAATTCTGAGGGGCATGAACATTCAGTCCATGACATGTTACAAGAGCTTGGAGAAAGAGTCCATCCGAGGTACAGCGCAAAGGGGAAAACTAAAGCCGGGGGCCAGGACCCACATTGAGAAAGAGCCTCAGGCAAATCGGTCTCCATCCCGCACTCGAGGTAGTGCCCCCCCCCCAGGCTGCTCCCCCCCGCCAAGTGGGAAGAGCAGTAGCAGCGCCAGGCCGTAGAGACTCAGCAAGAGGATCCGTGCTGTGTAGCTAGCAAATTGCCAGGCACTTCAGTGCTCCGTAGATATTTTAAATAATAACCTCTATCAAAGTTATCGAGGTCCAACCACCCACCTGAGGGTTCTCTCGTTGCACCCCTCCCCCACCCCACAGGCGCCAGCCCACATCTGAGCTCCTCTGCTGGCAGAGGGCCTGTCAGCCAGCTCTGAGTGAAGGCTCTCCCCTCCTACCGAGCTGTTGTGTTCCTTCTCATGGAGTCCAAAACCTAACCCCCTTAGATGGCTACAGCCCAGTTCTCATTGCCTTCCCTCCTAGGCTCATTTAAAAGCAGTCTTCCCTAGTTCTGTCAGGGGTTAACCACCCCCACCCAGGTCATGCATTGCCCATGTTCCCTTCATTGCATGGCTCATGTTTTTTCCATCCTGGCTGCTGCTCTTGTATACTGTCTGGTTTGCATCCCAAGTCTCAAGGCCACTTATGCAGGTGCAGTCTCACTGGTGTAGGGCAGTGCCACTGACCTGCCCTGAGACGGCGGGCAGTGCAGAGGGGCATGCCTGGGATGGCCCCACGTGTTTGGTGGCCACATCGCTCTGCTCACTCTCACGGCGCGTGCTGTGGCTTAGAGTTGGGGGCTTTTGTTCCTGTGTGCTTGTGTACTGTGCAACACAAGGGCTCGCCTTGACCTTGGCGATATTTTTAAAAAAAAAATAACTGAAGTGTAAAATTGCAGAGTTTCATTTCACATTGTTACTTTGCCCCATTTCTCTGCCTGAGGTTTTTTGGGGAATCCTGATTCTGTCATTTAGTATAATCCTTCTTTCTCAGCTTATGACATACACATTTTTAACAAACTCATCTCCTGTAGGTGCAGTCAGTTACTAATCAAAATGTTGAACAGATGGGGCCAAGAGGCAAGCTCTGCAGCAGGACACTAGAAATGCTCTACCGGGCTGGTGGCGTCCTTTAATTAGCACCCTTCGCATGGCTACACAGCCACCAACTACAATGTCTAGGTCGTATTGCTCCATTCGCCCGGACATGTTTAATTCAAGACCATGTTAAATTCTTTGTTACGGCTCAGATATTGTCTACTGCATTTTTCTAATCTGCCCAACTTTACAGAATAGTAAATGAATGTAGTCTGAAATGATTTGTTCTTGGGAACCCAGGCTGGCTTCCAGTAATTGCTGCTTCCCTTTATTATTTACTCTAAAACTGTGCCCAGAATTAATATCAGCTCTCTGGTCTACAGCATCCAGAACTCTCTCTCTCCTCTAATATGCCTGTCTCCAGTATTTCCTACTGCATACGTGTTTTTTTTCAGTAGAAACTGAGTGATTGAGCAGTCTCATTGGTAAATCTCAAGAGTGCTGTGCAACAGACTGATCTACAGATGAGACATTAGTTCCAGTTGCTAGTTTTTTCATTATAATGTCTTAATTCGCTGTGGGTTTTTCCTTTCTTGAGTGTTCATCTTTGAAAAACAATCTATATGCCTGGGCCAGGTAGCTCAGTTGGTTAGAGTGTTGTCCCAATATGCCAAGGTTTGAGGTTTGATCCCTGGTCAGGGCACATAGAAGAATCAACTAATGAATGCACAAATAAGTGGAACAACACGTCAATGTCTCTCTCTCATTTTTTAAAAAATTAAAAAAATATGTATTTTTAAAATATGTCTTTAATTATATCAGAGAGAGGGAGAGATAGAAACATCAATGATGAGTCACTGATCGGCTGCCTCCTGCACGCCCCCTGCTGGGGATCGAGCCCGCAACCCGGGCATGTGCCCTGACTGGGAATTGAACCGCAGTCTCCTCGATCCTAGGTCGATGCTCAACTGCTGAGCCATGCTGGCTGGGCTCTCTCTTTCTCTTTCTAAAAAAGTCAATAAAACAATTGATCTATATAGTTCCTATGGTTCTAATATTATTAATTGTGCAACAGCCAGAATATGATTTAGAAACACAAAACTCCTGGCTCCAGAGGACAGGCAACTGGACAATGAGGATTCATGTTTTGTTTTTGATCTTTTAAAGAATTGAGATATAACTGACATATATCATTACGTTAGTTTCAGGTGTACAATGGTCCAGTATTTGTATGAGAGGATTCACGTTTGGGATTCACGTTCCAAATAGGGAATTTCTGTGGAAGCCAAGGGGTTGCCAGCAGTCGCCCCTCCCCTCCCCCTGCCCCAAGCCATTTCTTCCTGTGAAACTTACCCATCACCACAGTTTTGCTCTCTTCCAGGCAGCAGCCTTATTGATGTTGAGGAGATAGTAACCAGCGACCTTGCTTCAAAAAGCCCAACCTCCAAACAGAAGACATGCTTTCCAATATTCAGAAGTTAAGTGTTAGGGTAGAATTTTTTCCCCCCTTCATTTTCCAGTCCACAGATGCTACTTTCCCCATTAGGTTTGGTTATGAGAATATAAATGTACACCCAAGTGCCGTGCAGCAGCGAGCGGTATTTGCATTTGCGGGCTATAATGAACTCTCCTCTGGTCCCTGTGCCTGGGTGAGAAGAATTAGAAGTAGATGGGAATGCAGATGGATTCCTGAAATTACTTGAAAAAGTTCTGTTCCTTCCCTGCTCAAAGCCCCCTGATGGAGACAGTAGGCTCTTAGGTCTCACCAGCATCCTCATGCCTTTTCATGGAAGTCAACAGAGGTGAGTCAGCTAACAATCGGGCTTTCTCACCACCTTCCTCACTTACCTGGGCCGACTCCCTCTCTCTGCGGGGCTGTGGTTGTCTTTTCATGGAAGAGGGGGTGTGCTATGGTGCTTGTTTTGATTTTTAAAGGTATTATTCTAGGTGCTTAAGTAAGCAAATAAAAACATTCCCCAAATGATTGAAATTTGTTGGGTTTATTTCTTTCTAAAGTTTGTACATTTACATATATCATATACATACTTTAAATCCTTCACTATTTAGCATGATTTCTATTACATAAAAACCATTTGAATGCAATAAATTTTGTTGTTGTAGAACAACAAATTATCCCCAACTTATAAAAACACAAGAACGGTTCTATTCATGAACATTTACACAATAGAGAAATGTACTATATATATCACGGCTCCTATACACATCAGGGGACTCACTTGTCTACACGGTTCAGGTTTACTTCAACAACAGTGAAATGTCATATTTATATACAACTATTTTAATAAAAAATAAAGCAATTGTAAAATGTAAACTTAATTTTTAAAATAGTCTTTAAACACTTTAACAATATCCACATACATTACTGTTCCGTTTGAAAGATGACCACCATAAATGCCCTAATTTTTTAGGAGATGTGTGTCTTCGGTGTGGTGGGTGGTGATGAGGAACAGGTTTCCAGTCCACAACTCGGTACCCGAGCTCACCCAAGTCTGCTCAAGCTGACAGTCTGGCCACTGAAAAGGAGTAGGCTGCTACTTTGTCACTAATTACTTTCACAATTTGCAGGGACATATGGCACCAGCACTGCAATGAAACTGAAATGACTGGCGGAGAAAACTTTCAAGGTACAGGGAGGTTCCACACTGCCAGTTACTGTCAATTAGACTGAGCCACAGTGAATCACATCCAGTTAATAGGTTGGAAAGTTAAACGCTTGCTTTATATATATGTACATATTATTAAAGACACAAAGGACCCCCCCACCCCCGCCTGGCCCACAGTAATCAAGGCTGACAGCATCGGTTCTCCGCTTGCCTAAGTTTCTGTTCTAGAGATGGGCTCCTAAGACGTGAGGTAGAAGAGAATGCAGGGAGGCATCTAGGCCTTGCCCCGACAGCTCTCGTCCGACTGAGCAGAACAGCTAAGCTGTGAGCCTAGCGTTCCTGACCCTTCCCACAGAAATGAGACGTTTTCCATTTCCAGAAACCTGGGTGCCAAGGCAAAGATACCATCCATCCGTGCTCAGAGCTCAATGTGCCAGCCGGTGTCTTGGCTTCAGTCAGAGAATTATTTTACACCATTGTCACGTGTCACCCCTGGTGACCCAGTACCTCTTGGAGCTGGTATCTTGCCTCAGCGGGGTCAGCCCATTAGGATGCTGGATTCCTAAAGAGCCTGTGAAACTCAGGATGTGCTTGCTGCTCAGTGGGAGCCCAAGTGGAGGGGAAGGCCAGGCGCAGCTCCTCTTTGCAGAGAGAATACATCACCCCCTCTGTGGACCCCGAGGGTCAGGGGTCAGAGCAAGGAGCCTCAGACCTGCAGTGCAGCCCTTCACTGAGCTTTGCGGCTGGGACTTTGTGTCTAAAGACTGACCAAGGCAGACTCCCAGGGAAATAATAAGTGAAACTCTAAATATTCTCTCCACTGACCATCATTTTCAGGAATTGAAGTTAAGGTGCTTACTTTATAACACTATTTATGAGAGCTTAGCTCTCTGGCCTGCAAAGGGAAACAAACTAGCTAAGTTCCTTCCCATTGTTGCTGATGGAAAAGTGCTTAGCTGTTCAGCAAACCTCGGTCTGACCTCCCTCTCAGCAGCGCAGCACAGAGGGGCGGTGGACAAGCACAGCTGTGCTCCTATGGTAAGTGCTTTCGTCGCTTCTTTTCTCGAATGATCTCCAGGGCAAGCAGCAATGTCACCCTAGAAAAGGGTGCACTCCGGCCTTCCTGCACTTCCCCAGGCCGCTGAGGGATGCTGGAGAGCGGCTGCTTGGGAATGACAAGCGAGCACCAGTGCGGTGGTCCACCAGGAAGGATGTGCTATGTGCCCCCTCAGTCATTTGTTAAATGCAGTGCATCTCAGAGTCAGACACTCGAGCTCAGACTCCTCCCTGGCCCTTGGGAAACACTCCCGAGATGCAATTCCCACCCCCTTGTCTATCCATCACTTCTTTAGAACACTCTGGCCTGTGGTGTCTTAAGTCTGTAGAACTTAAAACATTCACCGTGTGCACATGTGTGCAAGTGCACGTACACTTGAGAGGCCCAGACGTGTGACTCTTTCCCCTACACACCTGATGGAACAGTAAACTGGCTCCAGATCTCTCAGAGCAGAGAGCTGACCCCATGCACGTCCACCCCCAAAGAGACGGCGACCAGCTCACACTCCCCCCACCCCCGGCTTTAGTTTGGTCTAATTACTCTTGTTCCTATAGCTTAAAAAAAGTATGCGAACGGCATTAAACACCAATGTGCATATGTACTCTCTGCAGAGCGGAGATTATCATCTGTGCCAAAGGTTACTTGGCTTCCTAACCTACATGGCTTTATGCTGAAAGTCCTAACATTTCAAATAATTAAGGCCCAAAATGAAGCTTTTTTATTTTTGCTACTCCTTTTGTGTACGATTTCTGCAAAGCACTACAATACTTAGAAGGAAACACACTCTCGCAGAACAAAGACCCTGCTACAGTCACAGAGCCAGGTCACCGCACGTCAAGAACAAATCAGAAAATATGGTAGATTTGCAAAAATAGTTTGAGACTGTAGAGTTCATTAAAAAAAAAAAGCTCAAGTTAACTACCAACACACCACTGCAGCCCGCAGCCAAAGACTGGTCTCCACTCCACACACCAACTCTCTGAACCAGGATCAGACGCGAGCGTGAGGCCGTGTGTCCGATCTGACACACCGGCCTCAACCACGCACTCAGACACACTCGGATGCGGCTGTAAGTACACCAAACATGCTGGTCAATAAAATTTTAACCTTGTCATCATCTATGTACACGCTGCCAGATAAGCAGTAAGCTCAAACAACTAAGGCCAGTGGCTCTTCTTTGGGGAGAGGCAGGAAAAGAGGCCTACGTATAAAAATATTAAATAAAGTTTCAACCTGGTCCGTAGCCTGTCCTAAAATTCTTTTACCTGTGACACTAGATGCTAGTTTGTGCAACTGCGAGCCTAGAGTACAGTATCCGATCGGGGAAGCCCTGATATGCTTCGGCGTGTGCACTGTTTCTTCAGGGGAGCAGGGGTGCGGCCTGAGGGGAGTGGTCTGATCTACTACAGAACAGCCACAGGGGCCTAAGTGACACGGTGGGGACTTACTTCGTTCTCCCGAAAGCTCTACTGTCCTGGACTAATTACAACAACAGAGAACGTGCACTTGAAAGCATCACCTTTTGTAAAAAGCCCCAAACCGTCAGTTTGACGTTATGTTTAAGTGCTCTTAATACTGAAGTTGCTAAGATTGCCTGTTTTTTGTGTGTTTTTTTTTAGTTTGTGTTTTGTATCTCCCCCTTTCTGTCACCCCAAATTCTAATGAGCTCCCCGCTCCGCCCCCGTGTTGTACTCAGGACACTGAAGTAGAATCTCCAGGTTAGTTCAGAGGCCTTTCTGCCCTGGTGATTCGAAGCTCAAAGATGGGATTTGCTAGCATAAAATCTTATTATTACAAAAATTTAATCAAAATATCATTTGAATTTAAGTTGAATAAACAGTACCACTATATATATTCTCAAGAACTGCATTATATATTTGATCCTATGAGGTTTTTACTTGCTTTTCGTTGTCACACTGGTTATTAAGGACAAAAATAAATTGGATGTACATATACCATATACTGATATACAATCCACACAGGGGTACATATATATACACACAGGCATAAATACCCACAGACACAACATGGACGCCTGACATACTATCTACATGAATATTTCCCAGAAGCCTGCAATACTACAGATGCACACAAACGTTACACAGGGTGAGCCGAAGAGACGGAAGGAAGCCTACGGTATATACAGTTATTTAACTTGCGATATTTTCTTGCCGTTGCATTCAAGTCAACAAACTGTCATGCAGATTCAAGTATTGCCGACACTCTCCCTATGAAGACATTCTCTCTGCACGCACTGACCTAGCAGAGGGCTGCCCGCTTGGGTTTCGGATACTACAGGTACAACGTGAGAAAGGCAAGGACTTCGGGCTCCAGTCCTCCTGCAGGAGGGAGACACTGAAAAGGAATCTGAGAGGACAGGCAGTGAGCAAGCAGCTCTCTCTCCCTTGCTGGGAGCATTCTGTGGTGAACTACTGATCTCTAAAGTCCTCTGGGTGACTCGATGGTGAGATGTCGAAAGCTGGCTGAGAGATCTGTTGAGGGGGCAGACGGGTGGCCTGGCCTGGGAGGAGACACAGCCGAGAGCTCTGGAGCATGGTCGGCCCAGAGGCTCATCTGCCTGCAACGGTGACGGATCTTTCTCTGTCGGGGTAACTTAGATGCTCTGTGAGAAAAGCAGGTGCTAGTGAAACCCCAAATCACATGATTACTCATAACCAGACTCTACTTCTCCCAGGTCCCAGGATGCCACTGTGGCTTGTTACCAGTGCTAAATTTACAACTGGGAACAGTTCTGCCATTTGAAAAGCGAGGGGTTGTTCACTGCTGAAATGAAGGAAGGTGGCTACCGACCTGCTGAACACTGGACAGGGTCCACGAGAGCGAAACGGCAGAGATTTGCACCAACAAGGTAATTAACTCCCTGGGAATTCAGACTTAAAAAAACTTAACTGATGGCTACAAGAGAAAATACCAAAGGAATTCAAATTTCAAGACAACTAACCAAACCCAAGACAGTCTTGATAGGACGACAATAAAGGAGCTACTTTAAGGTCAATTTTCTTCCAACTGCCTACGATTAGGGATAAAGGCCGAGAGGAGGCCGCTCCTGGCTGCAGCAGGCCCTGCCTCACCTAGGAACACCCTCCAGGCTCCTTCCACGACATTGGGAGCAGCGGGCAAGGGCCAGCAGAAAGCCCGGGAACTCTGTGCTTCGGCCGCAAAGGGCCTCCTCCCCCACTGGTCGTCTCAATTCCTCTCCAGCCTCAGAAGCGCTGCGCTGTGGCCACAGGGTGAGATCGAGCTCAAGAGACCAACCCAGCCAGGCCTTGGAAAGCCAGCCAGCCCTCCTGGCCCAGGGCTAATTCCCTCACTTCACTTTTAACTAGGAAGCAGCCGGAGAAGCACCGAGGGTCTCCGGCGGCTGCTCTCTACCCAGGGACTCCGGGCCAACGGGGGCTCTCCCACATGCTGGGCTTGCGGAGAGGAATTAAAATGCACAGAAGCATCGCTTGGCTTAATGAGGCATTGCTAAGGTTAATAATAGGATGTTTTTGAAAAAGTGCACTTCAAATAATATCTATGGCCTGGGCAATCAAATAAGGACTCTGCCTGCTAGTACATAACTTCTGATCCCCAACAAAGAATTCCTGACACCTCCCGGCAAGAGCCAACACAGGAGGTGGGGGAACCACCCCGGAAACACTCAGAGACTTAACACACGGGCCACTTCTGTTAACTGGGTGACAGCACTGCCATGGAAGTCTTTGAGGAGGATTAGGATTTTCTAGACTGAAGATTAATATGAAGCGTGTTTAATGGAAGAGAAACTGATTTAAAATGTGGAGAGAAACCCCAAGGCTCCTGACGCTGAGGTGGGAGAGGAGTGGGGTGGGGGGCGTACCTTCAGGAGAGGAGGAGGGCTCCCCTGTACCGTGAATTAGGCAGTAGGCCTGGGTTAGCTGTGGATGGAATGTCTTCGATTCCTTCTGACTAGATACTATAGGAGACAAATCATCGCAACAGAAAACAGGGTTGGCTATGGGCAAGATCCTCAGAATCTACTCAAACCAGGGGCCACCTCCTCCTACAGGATAAACTCTTGACCTGCGAGGTTTCTGACAACAGACAGAAGCCTGAGAGGCCTCAGGGAGGAGGTGTTCTCAGCCCATCCCCTAGTGATGGACAACATCGGGGCAGGGCAATCTGCCGCCCTGGCTCACCAAATAACCTTGCAGTTGTCTTTAAAGATAAACTAGGCAAACACAGTGTGCCGCAGCCTCAAAGGTGCCCTTCTCATCCAATGACCTGTCAGCACAGCAGAAGTCCCGGGAGACACATCAGTGAGTCCTACAAGGGAGCAATGCCCGGCTGTGCTGACCGAGTCGCTCTGAACTGCTCCGAACGCCGGGCTCGGTAGCAAGGTACCATTCTGATTATTAAATACTACAAATAAAACACACAGAGACACTCTATGTACACAGACACACTCACACTGTGGGCAGACACATTCAAGCCAGTCAGGGATGTTCACTTTTCTTTAGTTACTGAAGCTCACAGATGACATGCTCTAGGTACCTCTCTCCCCTCGGCTCGGGATAAATGTCTAGGCAGGAAACAGGCAGGCGGGTTGTTTCAGATTCTAGGAAGAAAGAAGATTCCCTCGTGGGAATCGGAATTCAGTCAGAAGCTACAGAAATGAATCAGATCTACCGGCACTATAGGTAACTATCCTGTTTCTTGGTTCAGAAACATAAATTTAGTCGTTGCCTTTACCTAAACAAGACAGAGGGTTAGAGTGAGCTTTTTAGAGGCGTGGCAAAACACTTATCACAAAGCAAGCAGCTTTAACCTTAGAGAGGGTTTCTCTTCTCTGGGCACCATCAAATAGGAACATTTATATAGGTGAAGGAAGCAAATGAGAATAAATAATCCTGTAATTAAATGCCACTAGAAATGACCATGGTTTAAGAGCAGGTTTTCTCTAATTCACTGGAACCATGCTGTTCATGCAGAGTCCCTGATTCTTTGGTCATAGTACCTTTAAGTAATAAACTGAGTAGAACTAGAGCGAACTTCCGTGGAAGGGAAAAGAGTATTCAGAGTGATTCCATTAGTTCTGAAGTTGTGGAGATTATAGCTTTAAGGACCACAAAGTCTCAAGGTTTCAAAATCAGAAAGTTCTAACTCATAGCCAGCTCAATTTTCACTCCTATCTCTTCCTTTACAAGAGACTATTCTTTTTATCGCCCTGAAATTCAAAGGGACCATTCACTGTAACAAGCTCATGACTTTAAGGTCAATAGAACTATTTTAAGTAGAAAGAAAGAAATGATTTAGAATAAAGTATTTATTTTTAGGAGAAAGTTCAGTAGGAGCAGAGAGAAGTGGCTCTCAAAGAGACTAAGGTAAGAATAAACTAAGTTACTCTGTGTATGCAACCAACAGATTCCTCAGTTTTCCAACCACAGTTCATTCAGACTATGTATCACGTTCAGATTGCTTTTCAAGAATATTCCTTTGCTGGAAAACTGCAGCTACTCTTTCCTCTCTTACTTTGTTTTGCTTAAGACCCTGATATTCTTACAACCAGGAGATATAACACCATGCCTATACATACATACACTCCTGGATGGAGGGTACTGACAATAGAGATGATTCTGGATTCCTAGTCTAGACCCTGTGGGAATGAGTTAACAATTTCCTGTGGACTTAACACATGCCTAATGCTGCAGCTCCCGAGAGTCGATCATTGTCATGATTCTTTAGAGAACAAAACGGACTTGGTGTCATCTTTCCTCAACCTTCAACGGCAAAAAGGTTCCACTTTCTCTCTCCTTGCTTGGCTGAAATGAACTCGGCACTTGGAGCAAGCTCACGTGCTTCCTAAGTTCTCCAGTCCTTCGATCTCTGCACCCCTTGCCCTGCTTCGGGCAGGGCCGGAGCTCAACAGTCCGCGCCGCGGGCAGGCACGGAGGCGTCGCCGCGGAACGCCTGGGTTCCAGGACTGTAACTCCGAATCCAGTTCCGTGAGTGCTCAATTCCACCTCTGTGACTGGGCAAGAATTCACATGGAAAGGTTTGCATTAACTCTGGCTAGAATCTACTAAACTACAAAGTCTGTCCAGTAAAGTGTTTCACAATGGATTCAATGTTTTAACCTTAAAAAAAAAAGTAACAGTTGGTTTGAGAATACACAGAACAACTGAGAGAGTGCAAACTAGAGAAAACCAAAGGAGAAGTGATACACAATTCACTCTGAAATCATGATCCCTCCCCCTCACAAAAGGTGCATTAGTTATCAAGTAGCAAAAATCATCAAAGCAAAGAAATCAAGAGCGAAGAGACAATCTGTACAGAAACTAACAAAAATATACAATAGAAAAGGTTACTAATGCACCATTAAGTCACAGACTTTTTTTTTTTTATAGATATATTCACCAATTTACCAGAAAGATCTTGAAAAACTCTATTTTGCTCCATGACCAGCCCTTTCCTGGCTGCAGACGGATTCTAAGTAACTTTTTGCTTAATGCTGGGTGTTTCGGGTCGGTGGTCTTTCCGCTCCGACACGTTGCGCTTGACTTTGGCAGTGACCGGAGATGAATCGGGGTTCAGCGAAGGACTCGAATGCGACTTCTTCAGTCCTGGGGCCTCACTTTCATTGTTACTCAGGAGCTTCTTGCCGCCTCCTTTTAGAATGCTGACGTAAGTTTCATACCGGGTTTGCTGGAGGGGAGGGGAGAGAAGAAGGGTAGTCAGAACACTGCTCACACACGCGCATGTGCAACACACCTAACGTGTGAACTGCTTGGGGAGCAGGACTGGCTGTTGAGAGGACTTGACTTCATTCCCCAAAGTGGGCAACAGCTACAGGGGACTGAGGGATTCATTTGTTTAGATGAGAAACAAAGATAGAATTTTAGCTCTGGTTTGTCCTGCATTCTGAAGGGATGCCGACTTGGGGTTATTGGCCATTAGATGGAGGAGCCATGCTTCCTGAACGCTCGGGCACTAGAAGGTGTGCCCTGGAGGAGCTGTAAGCCTGGATTTTGGGCCACTGGATGGATCTTAATGGCTCCATGGTGTCTGTACTCCCTTGAACTTCCTCACATGACCTGGACTTGGCCCTGGCTTCCTTCGGTGGTTCACTCTCTTTCCTAGTCCCTGTAACTCTACAAAGACTCAACTGGAGGAATCAGCCCACGGTGGCTCGACCCTCCAGTCTCCTACAAGACCACAGCACATTTTAGAAGCTGTCTGGGTTTCCTGCCAAACTTCAAATCATTTGCTGATACTTTTCTCATTCTATAAATTTTTCTTCATCAATGGTTTGTTGAGTATCCACGACATTTTAAGCAGCTCCCGATTCTCTAGTCTCTGGGCGTCTTTTTGTAAGAATAACCGAGAAGAACAACATAGCAGAGAATTTTTACTTCTCTAACTCTAACTGGTGCTTTTTTTTAAGATTTAAAGTTTCTATCTGAGTTGCTATTTGGAACTATTATATATATTGCAAATTATAGAAGGGTCTCAGATTCTCGATTTGATAGATTCTAGTCAAAATAAGCCTTTCACTGTACCGCTTCGACACATGAAGGATTTACAGGCCTAAAGTGTTTTATTTCTAAACAAAAGAACATGTCAGTTATAAACTGTCCCAACAAAGGCAAGCAAATTCTGTTATGACTATAAATCTTTCAGGCGTTTTTCTAGTTAAACTGAGATTTTGTATATCTCAGTTTTAAGTCAGTAATTAGGAAGTTGAAACTACTGGAAGCTACTCTTTCAAGTTGCTGTGTTCAAAGTGGGGAAAAGCTTCTAGTCCTCACGCTTGTTCTGGGTTTGGTCTATGTGGGGCGCCAAGCTTTGGCTGGTGATGAAGATAACATTTATGGAATGCCCACATGCTCACTTCAGGTCATTAACACAATAATCACATACAATCAATACACTATTATCCCTCTCTTAAAGGAATTAGTTGGCAAAGATGTGAAGCTGGGATTTGAACTCAGGAAACCTGACTCCAGAACCCATGTTCTCACACGATATTTCCTCTCTGGAGATGAAAATACACACATGAACGCATGTGCTAGGATGACTACTCTGACAGACGCTGTTGGTTTGGCCAATCAAAAGCCATTCTCAGTCCCCTCCTCCTACATCCCTCCCCCTGCAAAGGTTGATAAAGCCCAGATACCTACTTTCCCAGCCCCTCTGTGGCTAAGATGGATCATGTGATATTCTAGCCGATGAGATACAAGAACATGTCTATTGAGAGGCTTCTGGGAAAGCGGCTGTGCCTTCGGACAGGAGGGACAAGGGACAGGCTCCGGAGGAGGGGCCACCGGCGCCAGCTCCTCCCTCTCACTCCTTCCCTGCCGTGGGGGTGACTCCCTGAGCTGCACCCCGTGAGCCGGGGCAGCGGGGTGAAGGCTGAAGGACCACAAGCAGGGCCTGAGGAAAGTGGGAAGGCCGAAGGGGGCTGGGCTCCTGACGACACACTGAGCTGGATCCAACCGCGAGCCTCCCTAGTCCCTCTGGATAGCTCTTGTAAGTACGAATAATAAATATCCTTGGGGGGTAAGCCACTGTTCACGGCAGCTGAAAGCATTGCTAAAGGATACATGTCCTAATTTTAATAAAGAAATAACCAAGGAGCCCAGCCGGGCGTGGCTCAGCAGTTGAGCCTCGACCTAGATCCAGGCGATTGGGGTTCGAGTCCCGGTCGGGGCACATGCCCGGGTTGCGGGCTTGATCAATGACTCTCTCATCATTGATGTTTCTCTCTCTCTCCCCCTCTCCTGTCCTCTCTCTGAAATCAATAAAGATATATTAAAAAAAAAGAAAGAAATAACAAAGGAAAATAATAAAATATTAAGTTTATCTCAGAAAAGCTCCACAAATTATTGATGGAGATTATCCACTCTAGGCTGTACTTTGGCCACATAATAAATATCAAATCAATGGCTCCTTTATTATTTCCAGTAATAGCTTTGTATCAAGTGCTGTAACTCTGGATGCCAGAGTGCAGTCCTCTCAGCCCTTCCCTAGGAGCCCGCAACATGTAGGACACCTGAGAGGCTCTGAGTGAATCAAAACGCTGAGAGTTCTGCACCAGTCTGTGGAGCCAGCTAACGATCAGGATTCTAGTATTGAGAGAACAGGCTAGAGGTACTTCTAAAACCCCGAGTATGGAACTTTGACAATAAAAACTTTGCTCCTCGATGCTTCTCATCTTCAATATCCCGCATCCATTCTGTTCGCAACTGTCCCTCTACCTTCAGAGTACACCCAGAATCACACCATTTCTCCCCAGCCCCACCGCTTCTGGTTTGGACCAACCACCATCGTCTTGTGCCTGGTTTGTTACGGTGGCCGCCTAACTGGTCTCCCTCTTTGCGCCCCCCCACCCCATGCGCTCTTCCCAAGAGAGAATTGTCGACTGAAATGGAAGTTGGAGGGCGCCATCGCTGCTCCAATCGCTCATCCTTAAAAATCCTTACGAGGGCTAGAAAACCCTAATCCGTCCCAACCCTCTTCCGCTTCTCTGGTCTAATCTCAGTGCTCTCCAGGGCTCACCACGGGCCAGCATCTCTCTTCCTGGCTGTCCCTGAACACAGGAAACACTCTGGCTCCTAGGACCTTGGGTGCTTGCTGTTCTCTCTGCGCCCAAAGCACTTCCCCCAGGAATCCACAGGGCTTACTCCCTCCCTTCTTTTACCTCTTTCAGTCTTGACTCAAATGTCACCTGTATATTGAGGCCTTCCCTGGCCATTTACATCTAAAATTGTCATACCTACTTGTATTGCTGTTCACTGCTTTATTTTTCTCCTTAGCACTTCTTACCATCAGCCTTATATTTATTTAAAAAATCCTGTTTGTCTTCCCCCAGCCAATACTAGAATGCAATTGCATGAGGGTAGGGGCTTTGGTTATATTCCCAGCATAACAAACACATAGAACACACTAAATAAACATTGGTTGAATGTATGAATGAAAAAATAAAATTTCTCCTATCTAGTGAAAAATATATTTCAAACTCTCAATATGGCAAATTCTAGAAAAATAAAAATAATGGGGATATAGACACATAGAAGTAGATGCCTGATGAGTTCCTAAGTCAGTAACCCCTGGGACACACTTAATCTTCGGTGCACAGCCATTCCCATGTTCCCCACAAAATCACCAAGGTGTGACCCTGTGTGGCAGTACTGGGGCTCATGAGCCACCACTCAGAGAAGTCTGTCCGTGTCGTCCCACGCCCACGCCCACGCCCACATCCACCTGAGTGCGCACAGCAAACCCTGCACAGCTGCACTGACGGGCCGGCGGCTGTGCTTACGACCAGGCTCTCTCTCTACAGAGAAAAAAAGTAGTTTATGTTATACTCTTGAGGGTCTTAAAACAGACACACATGTTCTGAGTATCTCTTATGTAGCAGTAAATGAAGACCAAATTTTATTATCCATGTTCAGCTTAAAAATCAAGAGAAACTGGGCCTCTGTATATGGACTATGTTGGGTCTTCATTTGGATAGTTACTACATCTCACTCATACATGAAGAGCAGCCTCTAAATTTACCTTGCAGCAAAAGCATCCATTAAAAAGATAAAGATTTGCCAACGGTTATTTCTATTTGAATTCCTCTGCGTGATAATTTACATGTAATGTATCAGGATCACCGTAAATACTTCAACACTAACCTAAAATCCTAGGCTCCCTGGGTCGGAGGCTAGTAGCCACATCAGTATTAATACAGAAAGGAATCTGTAGCTGACATTAACAAATAAACAATAACAATATCAAAGTTTTATACTTTTTTTCTGACAATAGTGTTCATGGCCAGAAGGAAGAAAGGGAAGAATAAAAACCCCTGAATGTTTTAATTAATATAATTTCATACCACAAAGTAATCACTACGTAAGAATTAATGCAGTTCCAGACAGGACTGAAAATGTGATAGGATGTAAAACATGAGTCTGTGACATGCTTGTGACAGTGAAAAGAATAGCCCTGGGGTCAGGTGGTCTGGTGTGGACATTGCCACCAACTAGTAAGTACGGCATCGATTTATTTTCCTGAATCATCACTCAGTCTTCACTGCGAGGAGCCCTTCCAGGTATGTCTTTGATTAAGAAGGGCAAAGAGGGTTTGAGAGTAAGCTGTGCCTCAGGGACAATTTGCTGCCTTTGGTCAGGTTATTAAAGATTTTGTCTTAGCCTCTGCTGATTCATTCTCAGATCAGTTCTAAAAAATGTCAGAACTGCAGGCCCAGCATCCGTCCTTAGGAATTCTCCAACAGTGTGAATAGATTTCTAACAGCATAAGCACATAATCTAATTCCACTATCAGAAAAAACCCCTGAGGTGGGATTTTACCAAATCTCAACCCAGCAGCCACTCCCTGCAGATAAGGATCTGAATACTGTTTTCGTGGTTTGGTCCTTTCAGCAAACCCTCTCTCTTAATTTCCTCCTTAAGATTTGTTCTTTTCATGAAGCCTTCTGTGGCCAAGAGCCAAAGACAATTCAAATGTTTAATGGCTTCTTTATCTACTAAAATAAAGTCCTTTCTTCCCTCTGTAATCTCCTTACCTTTTTTTTTTTTATTGTATCAATTTATTAAGTTGGTCTTCAATTACTTGTAAAAATACTCAAGTATGTAGAAAACCATATCCCTGTTCACTAGCAGCAATGCCTACCAGGGAGGAACAAAAAATACCACGTC